ATAATGTTAATTTTATTCGTTATCAATTACATCTTCATCGTGATCTATGTCATCCTCATCTTCTTCAATTATTGGCGGACTGTTATTGCACCCTTCACCTGAACACCCAGAACAAGTAGAGTTACAGTATAAACCAACTTTTCTGCACCCATATGAAACGCCGCATCCTTTTTTGCATTGGCAAAAAATAATTTTCAAAAATTTATTGGGTGCAGGTTGTTTGTTCATGCGTACGGGTAATAACAAACCATCTTTGGAATACCATCCCCAATCTGTTGCTCTGATATTTTCATTGCCAAGCCATAGACATATGAGCAGATGTTTTATTCTGTTATATGGGATTTCAAAATAAGAACACTTAAACTTTCGAATGTATAACGCCGCACTAGCTGATATACCGGTTTTGTAGATTATTATGCTCCGAAATGTACTGTACTATACTAATGGAATTTTCCGGAAAAAATTAACTGGTTTTTTTAACGTATTTCCTTTAATTTTTAACTATATAGTGTTTCTTCAAAAAATGTTTGTAGAGGTTTTTAATAGCTACAAGGATCTGTGAATTAAATCTTTTTGGAACCCTTAGTTTTTAAATGGGGTGAGTTTAAAGGGCTCGCAAAAGATGGTGCTTGATCGTAAATCGATGCTTTAACCGGCTATATCTCGCCAAATATTCATTGTATAACAAATCTAAATAAAGGATAATTTTAGTCATTAAAAAAGCTACAATTTGGTAATTTTTATTTTTTTCATATATTCAGTATTTTCGGGCATATTTAAAAAAAGAAGGGTAAAAAATATGAAATTGTAGATCGTTTCTCGCTTTAAGCTGTACTTTTTCTAAAACTAAGCATTTTAAATGGGTCAAACTTCTTGGACGTATTAACAATACATCTACAAAATGAATTGCAGAAGGGTGAAGATCGATTTTAATTATGGGGGTGGTTAGGGTGTTGTTTTCCTCGATTTTTTCGTAAAAAATGAGGTATTGACCTTATTTTTTTATGATAGGTCTATTTATGCTCTTTAAAAAAGGTTTTGTGAGTTTTCTTCCAAAAATGCATCATTTTCCCGATATTTGACTTTGAATCTTTCAAATTTGGCATTTGAGGAAAACTGCTGAACATTGATATTGTATTTGTAATTGTATTTGTCTTTTTAAAAGCTACAAATTTTTTTTTTGATAAAATGCAAACGTGGATTGTTTCGTCTAAAAGTTGTTACTTTCAATCGCGAATAACTTGAAAAATATCATTTTATAAAAAAAATGTATAGCACATTGTTTGTTTAGAATCATTTTTCTAATCGAAACCTGTAGTTAAAACGTAAAAAAAAAATTTCACCCCGGAGATGGGGTGGCAACCACCCCCTAGGCTTTGGTTCGATATAGATTTTGATCCTTAGACTATTACCTACCTTCTGTTAAATTTCAAGTCAATCCACGCCGCACGAAAAAATTGCGAGGTGAAATGCTACATTTCCTGGACTATAAGTGGTTTGACAGCATAATAAAATCGTAGATTTATGTGTAGCTTTCAATTTTTATGAGTTCCGAATCCAGCAGCCCGCTGAAGTATGGGATTTTTTATAATATAATTATTTGACAATCTTTTGTTGGCCAACCAGCTACAGCAGAATTGAGCCGAAATACATTATATTCCTATGTTCCGAATTTATTTCGTTCAATCTGTATATATATATATATATATATATATATATATATATATATATATATATATATATATATATATATATAATAAAAGCCATTTATTATGGCATTAGACCACAAACGAATTAAACTTTTCACACGTCAAAATAGATAAAACGTAATTAATAAAACCATAAAACAGTTATGTCAGTATCTCTACTTCGTAAGCCGTACGAACTAATTTCGATTCAAACCAAAAAATCCAAAAACCATCTGCTCTGGTGTCAAAAAACTAAACACACCACACACGACACCAAAATTTGTGTAATATTGTGACCGATGAATTCATGTACGTAGAGAGCGAGGAAGACAAGCAAGAACAAAAACAGTTAGATCTGGAAACAGCCATAAAGGAGGAAGTGTTATGTTCCGGGGAAGTAATATGGTCGGTGAAAAAACTACTTTAATTTCCATTCAACTGACTTTAATAGTTCGCAGGTATGTGTGATCCGGTTCTAGAACCTGTAGTTAGACACAAAAAGTGCAATGAAAAAAAACTTTATTTCCATTCATGATAATGCACCTCCACATACTAACAGAGTCACTACATACTTCCCTAAAGAAGAAGATATCACTATTTATGTAGTGGTGGTATTCTAATGTGATTATAATTTCGATTTGTTTCTAATTCCCTATGTCCGATTCTTCTCGATCGACGATGATAAAATAAAATATGTTTTTTACTTATACTTGGTGAAATTATACAAATTTAGGACATCAAGGTTAATGTGAGATTACAAATTAAAATATTAATCAGTGATTACAAGTGGTGATTAAATTGCTTTTAAATAAATATTCTTTTACATCGTAGGTTGTTTTTTTTTAATTCGCCTTAAACAATAAGATATCAGATGATTCCATATTAGTTTGGTTGTGTGAATATATAAAACAGCAAAACAGGCTGAATTAAAGTAGCTGTGAGTAGCTGTAAAGTAAGCCGTCAAAACTATAAAAAACTAATTTTAACGTGGACAGTTAACAAAGAGAACGTTTTAGTTATATCAATCACGTTGATATTCATAAATCTATTTTCAAAACTTTTATATAAAATTAAATTCCATAATTTGTAATTTTTCCGAACCTTTTAAATTTAATTAAAAATAGTTATTAAAATAGTTATAAATATTCATATAATAAAAAGTTATTAAAATATGTTTTATATTAAAACATAAACGAAGTAAATATTTATTAAAAATCTCTTTATTCGGGTATTTTATCCTTTGTGCTAGTTCGGCATTTTCTCCATACATGACCCAATTTCAACTTGCGCTGTTTGGAGTAACAATACAAATGGAATCTGAACTTCAATAGTAACAGGAGTCTTTTATTTTCTATAATAACGCCGCTTATCAGACCTAAACACGAGCTAGCCATTAATCCACTTTCAAATATTGACTTTTTACTGATAACGCTCCAAATACGAGAAAGGTATGTTGTTACTACTTGCAGAATTGGATATAATTTAATATTGGTATATTGCCAATTATTAGCCCCAGTAAAACACCGCCAATATTCAATGATTAAGTCCATACACATTAATATTAAATCCATAACAATTTTTTGTTATATTTAGTTACTCTTAAATTAAAGAAGCAAGTAAAAAATGCAAATTGCTAGAATATACACATATATTGTCATCGTTACGGCAAAACTCACTAAGTCCACTTTGGTTAAAATTTGCTCTGAAGTGAACTGATCAAATCACAATATCAACTATCATAGTCTGGCAAAAATAACGAAGTCCCAGAAAGTACGTAAAGTTGGTTGCCTAAAGCACTGAATATACCTTCTTCTTCTTCGTGCGACTAGGATTACTCCTGTTTGTCTGCCTCTTATTTTGTTTCAGTCGTTGTTGACTGTACATTATATTTCCTTTTTGGCCGCATTTGAACGGGTCTTCTGCTATAGGTTTTGTTGTTTTTACAGATTTTCGCTTATTTCTCTGTTCCCACGGTTTATATGTTCGTTCTAGTTTTTTTGTTTTTATCCGCCTGTTAATATTTTGAATTTCGCACTGTTCGCGTATGCTTCTGTTGGTTTGTCTGTCTCTTAAAGATATGCTCGCTATTTATCTTAATACTTTCATTTCGATATTGTTGATTTGTTGTTTCGTCTTTTTTATATCGGTCCTTGTCTCCGCTGCATATGTTGGGATTGGTCTTACTGTTTCCTTGTATACTTTCATTTTGCTTTTCGTGGTCAGATATTTGTTTCTCCATATGGTTTCTCAGAGGCAACCACTGACTCTTGCTGCTTTTGATGCTTGCCTTGTGGTCTCTGTTCCTATATCCTTGTCACTAGTGATCTCTACTCCTAGGTTATTGAATGTTATTACTTGTTCTACAATTTTGCCGTGTATTTCTAGTTTGCATCTACGCGGCTCTTTGCTGATCACTATATATTTAGTTTTTTCTACTAATATTCCCATATTGTTTTTTTTGCTGTCTGAAGGTGTGGAGCTGCCTTTGTAGGTCATCTTCGTTATCAGCAATTATTACTGCATCATCGGCATAGCATAGTATCGTGATTTTATGCGCTTCCATGTGGTATCCATATCGTTTTCTTACTTCGTAAATTATCTGGTTAATTACCATACCTAATAGACCTAATAGTCACTGAATATACCTAAGCCCAAAAAATCATTTTGTTGTCAGGCAGAAGTAACTAACTGAACATAATGATGTTTGTCTGATTACGATGCGACAGATACTAGATACGGTGTTGAGGCATGGACTCTTAAACAGAGGAATATTAAAATTAAAAATCTTGAAAGCTTTGAGATGTGGTGCTACCGCCGTATACTAAGAATAAGTTGGGTATATAGAATTACAAATGAAGAGGTAATACGCAGAATGAATAACGATCCAGAAGTTATTATGAATATAAAAAAGAGAAAACTTGAATACTTGGCCACCTGGTGAGAGGACAAAAGTACACGTTCCTACAAAATATAATGCAAGAAAAGATCCAATGACACAGAAATCCAGGCTTAGAAGAATGTCCTGGATAAGAAATTTAAGAGAGTTGTTTGGCTGTACCACGAACGAATTATTCAAAACAGCAGTTAATAAAATTAGAATCGCCATCATGGTATCCAATCTTCGATAGGAGAGGCACTCAAAGAAACAGAAGATACTAGTATCAGTTAATGTGAACACGTGTTGTCACTTAATTTGTGTAGGTCGTAATTGTTGTATTTATAGCAGTAAAAAATATTTTGTAAATTATTTTTCACGAATTGTTTTACATTTCAGTGTTCAGCAGTAGGTGGAAACGCATTGCTAAACTTCCAATGACTAACGAAAATTCGAAAACGAGTATAAAGGTAAAAGGTTGTTAGACTTTGTTTCATAATAGTTTGTATTTGTGTAATAGGTAGAAAAAACAATATTAAACAGTACAGCGTCGTCTTCGAAAAATCCTGTTTTACAACATGATGACCATGGTTGTTCCTCGTTAATCAATCAGACAGTAGCCACAGCAATATGGAATATTCCAAGTACAAGTACCTCGCCTTGTGATTTATATAGTAATAAACACAGACGTATTACTGTCCAAAATAAAATAGTAATACTTTCGGATATCAAAATACAGAACATTTTTGGAACGGAGAAAAAAAGTGCTGATAAGGTAAAGATAGTGTAACTGTTAATAATGCTCTTTTGTCTTTATTGTTCTATATTTAAGGTACCATTAAATCAACCAACACCATTTATAAAGGATGGTTAAGTACACAATATACAAGAATATCAAGTCGATGACAAGAGCGACGATGACAAAGATTTTAATCCACTGACTGGAGAGAAAGACGTTGGTTTTACAGGTTAAAAGATTGTTAACTTGATTTTTTTCTAGAAGTGCAAAGAACATGAAGGAATGGAGTAAATAAAGGCAGCAAGTTTTAGTGGAAGCGTCATTTAATAAAAAAACGTAAGAACATGGGAAAATTGTGTAATATAAAAAAGGAGAATATCCATTAAAAACTCCGAAGTTTAAAAACTGTCCTAATTACAAATTTCACTACATAGAAAATTTCAGTGAAGAAGAAAGTACTAGTAACGTATGGAAGATTTCATTATGCTCCCCAAATTAAAGTGTGTGAAAATGTTTTTTCTCAAGACTCTTTCTATCAGTAATGGTCCTCTAAACAAAGCATGTAAGGAAGAATAAAATAACGGGCTTATTTGAAGGCGATGATGAAAGAGGTAGACATTTACCTGCCAACAAAACTGTTGAAAATGCTACTAACTTTATTACATCATATCGAAAATTTTCCATTAACAGAATCGCACTACTGCAGAAAGTGATCTAAAGGAAAGTATTTGTAAGATGTATTAGCTATCGGAAAAATATATGCCTTATGTAAGGAATTATGTGAAATGCTCGCATACCAAAAAGTTTGCCAACGTAGAAGAGAATATTTGGTCAGTAATGTACCCAGTCCTTCTTTAAACCTCACATAAATCAGTGTGTATAATACAACAGATATAGATTAGCAATAGATGAAGACAAAAAAATTACAGCAAGCCCATGACGAACGCAAAAAGCGCGAAAAGGATCCTAATGCTACTAAGGACAGTGACAAGAAAAGAGAACTGAAAATCCCAGTTTTGTCATTGCTCCTTTTGACCTTCAGAGTGTGCTCCAAATGCCAAGTAGTGATGTAGCATCCTTATACTACGGTAGAAAATTATCTGCCTTTAATTTATGCATTTATTTCCCCACTTATTTTCCTTAATTTGGGGAATACAAAAAAAAGTTTCAAATAAAAGTTGAATTATTTTATCTGTACAGACCAACACTGTAGCAACAGACTAAATTTTGTATACAGGAAGTGCCCAATAAAATGCATCTTTAATATTTCAAATGGTACACCCTGTATTTTTTTATAGTTTTGAGCAGCCCTGCATTTCCTGATTACTAATATGTAACATAGTGTAGCGTTAGTTTTGTTCTATAATGGCATATGCTACTACTATACTATACTAAGGTAAGAAAAAAATATATTTAGAAAGTCAACAAAATTAATGACTTACAATATTACATTTACGATAAAATTCTACATTTAAGATTACAATAGATGCAAAAAGTGCCCTCCATTGTTATCAATGTACAAGTAATATCTTCATCTCAAATTTTTTAATGCGTTAGATATTGTGTTATTATAACCATTTAAATTTTCAATTTTTGCGCGAACTTTTGCCGTGATAGTGTTAATATTTGTATTTGAATCAAAATATACTTTTTCTTTTAAAAACCCCCATAAAAATCTATCACATGGTGTTAAGTCGTGACTACTTGGTGGCCATGTAATGATACCTTTATTGCCGATCCACACATTACATTGATTATTTAACCCTTAACTTGACGGTGTGCACTCCAGGATACGTTATTTATTAAATTATACTTCCACTAAATAAACTAAGTTTGCAGCAAGATTTTAAAAGTACCCTCTCCCTATAGCATTCGGCTAACCAACAAATTAATTTGAATGCCATACATAGACTTTTGGCACAATTAGAGAGTGTTTTGTGTAGACGTGCTCAAAATGACTTCCAAAAAAGTGGTAATTTGTGTCATTCGGTAAGTAAATTAATTTTTTATGTGTTAATAGTTATTGTATGGATTGGCAAACTATAATTATAGTTAATTGTGTCTTCATTAAATAATTGTATAAAATAATATTCACAATTTGTCTATAAACAAACAGATAGGATCACTTTAAAAAGTAGTATCTAGGAAGACACATTGCCAGTTAAGCGACAATTTAGTTTGTATCTTCGGGTGTACATTGCCAGGTACTGAAGAAAATTGAATAAGTATCTTTCTGGATACATTACCCGGTATACGGACAAATACTAATTGTATCTTATTAGATACTTTGCCCATTAGAGGATTAACAGAAAAGTGATAAAAACATTTGGTATATTATGCTTGTAACGATTTGTTCTATAATTTGCGATTTATAGTATACAGTCAGAGATTCAAAAATTTATTTTCCTTGTGGATTTTTGATTTATTGTATGTACTCCAAAACCTTGTGAATCAAATGCAACTATTGTTGATCTTCTATAATATGTATATATATATATATATATATATATATATATATATATATATATATATATATATAATACATATATATCATTTATTTACACATTTTGTAACAAAATAACCATCAAAAACGCTCCATTATTGAAATGTGTGAGATCCTAAAAAACCCATCTACAATAAAAAGAACTGACATCGACAATTTAAGCCAGGTTTACCGCTCTCTCATCTTACGAAATAAATAATACCAATATTTCTGCGAATATTATTTTTTGCAAAGTTTTTGTGTTCTTTGTTTCTGTTAAATTTTTGTTTAAGTTAGTTCTAAATTTATGAGTAAACTTAAGTACATAATAATATACAATAACATCTTTAATACTACATATTGAGTTGTAAGTAATAAATTATTAGATCTGTATTTCTTATAAACTCTATGTCATCTTTGTATTTTAGAGAACTGATGAAGCTTTAGAAGTATAAAGCGAAACGTCTTCTATAAACTTATGAAGTAGTTGACTTCTGTTTTATTTTGCCAACCTGAATGACCGAATAAACCTCTGAATTCACTATTATAGTTGAATTATAGTTGAATACTTTATTAATATAAATTGACGGTCGTAGTTTTTACAATATATATATATATATATATAATATATATATATATATATATATATATATATATATATATATATATATATATATATTTATATATATATATATATATATATATATATATACATATATGTATATATATATATATATATATATATATATATATATATATATGTATATATATATATATATATATATATATATATATATATATATATATGTATAATCCGAATATGTATACAGTGTAGGAAAAATTTTATGGTCGGTATGGACCTTACGTGAGATGGAGTGAGAAACAGCTGTTTAAAAAGAGAGAGGTATATTAGGTACGCCCTTTATATCGCCGAATGGAAATATTAAAAAAGGGGAAATTCAACGTTGCCAAACTTATTGGTTTTATTTGACCTGTTGTTTTTTTTTGCATTTGAACAATGTTCTATCAAGAAGATAAAATGCTCAAGACAATCAAATTTGGGCGAAATTGATTTAAATGGCAGGTTACTGTTTTTTTTATTGGGAATATGCCACAAGTTTTCTTTACAATAATTGTAATATAACATTTTGATTTCCATTTCGGAAATCGTTTTATCTAAATAAAATTTATTAATGTTTCGTATTTTAAGTACGATTTCCGAACTAAAAATCTAAATATCAAAATAATTTCCCAATATGAAATAATAAACAATTAAACATGCATACAATAACGCCAAATTAAAAAATATTCATACACTAATTTATTTGGCAACGTCTAGTCTAGATTGTCGTCTGGTCAAAAGATCGAGTAACGAGAAGTAGAGGTGGGTCGTGCTAGTTTATCGTTAACAGCGTAGGAGCAAAATTTCGAGCCAAAGTTTTTTAAATGCATTCATTTTTTTCGAATCCTGAGAAAACTAATAAATATTTTTGAAAAAATTAAACGCAGAATGAAACAATACATTATTACCGAGAGCTGAAAGTCCCTGAAAACTTCTATATTGTTTATTTTAATAAGTTATAGGGATGAAAAAAAAAAAACAAAATTTAGTGTGATTTTTAATTTCAAATATCTCATTAAAAAAACTTTTTGTTTATTCTAAGGGACCTTCGGCCCTCGGTAATAATGTAATCTTTCATTCTGCATTTAAATTTTTCAAAAATATTTGTTAGTTTTCTCAGGATTCCAAAAAAATTTAAATTTTTTTGAATGCTAAAAAGCATTTAAAAATTTTAATTTTCATAAACAAGTAACTATGATTGTTTAAAAGTAGTTTCAAGTAAGATAGTACCTACATAAATAAACATAACGGCTATTATCGTTTATGTGTATATCTTTTGAAGTGAAAGAAACTACCTAATGATATATTTATTATAACTTGAAAAATAAACTAAACAATCATCATCATCATATAACGGGGGTCCTACGGCGATTGCCTCTTCTCGCATTTCAGCCTCCATCTTTTCCTATCTCCCCAATCTCCCTCTTCTAAGCCTCTAGATTGCATTGTTTTTGTAATTTCTCTTCTCCAGGAATTTGGTGGTCTTCCCCTTTTCCTTCTTTCTGGCGGAACATACATTAAGGCTTTCTTTGGCCACCGCTCCTCCTCCATTCTTATCACGTGACCATACCATTGTAATTGCCTTTCTTGTATTCTATCTGAAAGAGTATCTCTAATTCCTGTACGGTTTCGTATTTCCTCATTCCTGATTCTTTCCATTCTCGATACTCGACATGACCTTCTAAGATAATTCATTTCCACAACGTCTACTTTATCTCGTTCATTCTTTGTCATCGTCCAACATTCGGCACCATATGTGGTAATTGGTTCTACAATTGCTCTGTATACGCGAAGTTTGGTATGCATCTTTATTTTATTAGACCACAGTAATAAATTCAGTATTCGGATGCATTTTTTCCCTTGGGTTATTCGGTTTTGTACATCTATCTTAACTCTGCCATCTGCTGATATGATGCTTCCTAGATATTTATA